ATTGCATATTTGCTTTTATCTTGGAAAGTTTGGATGAGATGTTTGGATTATAAATTTACAAATCTATTGTAAATTCAACTATATCACAAATTTATTATTCCTTTTATCTTTTAAATTGTTTTTTTAAATGTGCTAACCCAAAGAAAATTTTTATGTAAACTTTACATTTTGAAATCCTAAGGTGTAGATACATTTCATCATTTACAATTTTAAGCAAGAACAATATTTTTATGAATATTTTTTTTTTGCCATTTTTTTGTCATCTTAAGTCTACATACCCAAAGAAAATTTTTATGTAAACTTTACATTTTGAAATCCTGAGGTGTAGATACATTTCATCATTTACGATTTTAAGCAAGAACAATATTTTTATGGACATTTTTTTTTTTGCCATTTTTTTATCATCTTAAGTCTACATTTCACACGATGTTAAATGAATGTGTCAGATGTAGTTTATGTTAAAATAATTTCTAGAATTTTCTTTTGAGCTATCACATTTTTCTTATGTCATTCATTCATTCAATTTAAAGATACTTGCTGACTACCATAAAACCCAGGAATTATGCTACATGCTGGCTTAAATATAGCATTTGTAACTGCTCTCTAGGAACTTAGTTTGGAAGAGACAGCCACATTAATAAATAACTATATTGTGGTATGATGAATACTATAGAAGAGAATTTACAAAATGACATGGTGATTAATTCTGCTTGGGATTATGTAGTGAAGAGTTGTAGAAGATATTCTCCTAAGACATGATATTTAAATTATATTTTGACAGATGAGTAAGAATTTTTCAGGTTACAAAGAAAATAATAGGCAGAAGAAATATGATGAGTAAAGACAGGCATAAAAATCTGAATAAATGACTAAAGTGTATAGTATAAAGGGCATGGGCAGATGAATTTGTATGGTGAAGTTTTGAATTCATATTATAGGCAATAGGTGCTACTAAAAATTGTGAAAAAAATGACCAATATCATTATGTAACTGTTGAAGCATGAATTGAACCAATGAGAATATGAAGGCCTGAAGATGGCTGGTAGTTTAGGCATAGTAATTATAGAAGCACTTATTTGTACTTACTATCTTGCAGGTACTGTTTTAGCATTTTACACAATCCCATGTGGTAGGTTTTATTATTCTTGTTTAGAGATGGTGTACATCAAAGAGCCCAAACATCACATAGCAAATTAATGGAGAAGTTTGGCTTTCAGCCGAGTCTACCTTGGCTCTGGATCCAAGTTCTCATTCATTATACTAAGCTAGTAATAGAAAAGATAAAAATTTACAGGGAATGTAATCAGAACATTGAGAAATACATCAAAATGTCATGGAACAGGTTTTGTAAGAAAAAGTTGTTAATAATGGATTGATAAAAGGGAAATTGGTGTGTATATTTAAGTAGCTTTTTATTGTTTTTATAAACAAGGAATTGAATACTCTTCAACCTAAAGATACCTTTCGTCTTTGGCTCACTGCAGAAGTTCATCCCAACTTTACTCCTATCTTACTACAGTCAAGTTTGAAAATAACATATGAGGTAAGAAGATTTAAAACTTGGATCACTAGTTGTATGAGAGCAGTAATCTATACATACCTTCTAAAGCTTTTTAAACAACCATCTGTTATACAAAACACATAACTTCATTTTTATATTTAGATGAGGTATAATATACGTAAATAATAACATAAAGTGATATAAAAATTCATTTAAATCTTTTCAAATTTTATTTCAATATCATTTTTTTTTGTTTTTATTGTGGTAAAAACCATATAACATAAAATTTACCATCTTAACCATTTTTAAGTGTACAGTACAATACCATTAACTATATGCATGTTGTTGTCAATAGATCTCTAACTTTTTTATCTTGCAAAACTGAGATTCTGTATCCATCGAACAGCAACTCCCATTGTCCCCTCCCCGCAGCCTGGCAACCAACATTCTACTTTCTGTTTCTAAGAGTTTGACTACTTTATTTTTTTTTATTTTTAATTTT